TATTTATAATATAAATTTATAAATATATTTACAGTATATTTTCTGTCTTAAGTACTGAAACATTATTACAAAATGGAAATTATGTGATTTTGAATATAGGATGGGCCCCTCCAACGCCCATTCCTGTGAGAACGCAACCAACATTTTTTTGTCGTCTCTTCGATTTTTATTTACAATGGAAGCATTTTAATTATTGCACATTGATGTATTATACTCAATTTTCAAAATATTGAAAATACGGAATAGGGCCCTCCATCGCCCATTTCCGTGAGAACGCAATCATTCCTTCATAATCTCCGAGATTTTTATTTATATACGAGATAGGAGTAACAATTACACGTTGCTATATTTTGTACAATTTAAAAAAAATAAGAAATACAGATAACTTCTATCACTGTATGCTCGAATTCAAAACTATTTTTTCAAGCATAATGGCACAGTTTTAAAAAATGGCGTTACTTAATGAAAAATATTTATTTCGGGAAAGGCAACAGTTTGTTCCTTTCTATAATTGCAAGATCAAACGAGCCCACCGAAGGCGGGCGAAGTTTGATCGAAATTATATGAAAAGTCTCGTTCGAAGATGATAGTATTGTAGTCATGCTTGTCATGCTCAACATCACAACGTTTAGCTCCTAGTAAATTTGAAAATGGCGTCCCCGCCATGTTATCTCTAGGATGAGTCCTCTCCGCTTTCATATTGTTTTTTGTAACGAACTTAGAATTATCACAATATAATTTTGAAGATGATAGGGGTAGTATATATTTATTTTGGGTATTTTAAGGGTGGGAGATTATCATCTTCGAACGAGACTTTTCATATAATTTTGATCAAACTTCGCCCGCCTTCGGTGGGCTCGTTTGATCTTGCAATTATATTGCACGTCTCGTTCTCGATGATAGTATTGTAGTGTTTTAGAGATTGTGATAATTCGTAATAATTTCTTTTAGGAAATTATTCATTTATTTATTATTATGTAACGGTTCATCTTTCCCGTACGCCGCGGATCAAGGCTCGCCGGTGCCAGGATTCGGGAGAAGGGGGAAACTCCAACTTACTGTGCCTCGTATAAGCGGTTTAAATAATTAGGTTTATTCAAGCGGTTATTATAAAAGATAGTTAACACTGATAGCTATGCGAAGCAGCATGCGGGAACGGTGCGTACATTAGGTGCTTGAATGGGTCTATTATAAAATTTGAAAAAAAGTTTGAGATCCAGGGGCCCATCCAGCACTTCGTCTAATAGTGTCAATATCCACTCCTCTTTTATGAGCAGTGGATACTGCCGCATGTCTAGTACTGTATGCTGTAAACTGTTTAATATCGATGCCAGTCTTGCCCAGAAGTGTCTTAATCCAATGACCAATGGTTTGTGCGGATACTGCTCCAAATGGTTTCATAATAGCAATTAATAAATTTTTTGTATTTTGGCTTCGTAAATCTTTTGTAAAATCAATGTAATCTAATACTGTCGATGCCACACATAAGCCTGGTTTGTTTTTGAAAAAAGGTAATATTAATTCGGGTTGAAAACCGCCTGGCTTAGATGTTTTGATCTGTTCCGTAATCTTTATACTTATACCGGAATTGGATATCGAAATATTTTCAATGTTTATCAACGCTAAAGTTTGTAGTCTTTGAGCTGTTGTTAACGCTAAGAATGTGACTACTTTTTCAGCGGCGTCTTTTAATTTCAAATGTTTAAGAGGATGAAGTTTTTCAATGTAATTTAGAACCGGTGTAATATCCCAAGTTGTGTTGTACTTAGGCTTAGTTGGTTTTTGTTTAAACACACCTTTTAGGAACCGTGAGATCAAACCATCATTGTTTATATCGTATACTGAAATTAAAGAAATAGTCGCTCGAGCAGTATTTAACGTACTATACTTTGCACCTTTTTTATATCTGCTATTAAGAAACTCAATAATGTCCGAAGTATTTGAGTTGAAAATATCCAATCTTTTAGTATGTGCATAATCCCACCAACATTTCAAGTTACACTCGTATTGTTTAAGAGTCGACTTTGTAATGGAATCGATCATCACATCCACAGAATCTTCACTGATTCCTTTCCTCAAGAATGCTGTCCTGATAATTTGCCTGCCAAGGCGGCCGGTAGGTTCCTCGATTCGCTGCAGCCAACGGAGGGCCTGGTGGTCGGTCAAGACCGTGAAGCGGTAACCCTCAAGATACTCGCGCATCCGCCGGATGCCCCAAACGACTTCCAGGTACTCCAACTCGGTAGCGCTGTAATTACGCTCCACAGCGTTGAGGGTTCGGCTGGCGTAGGCGATGACTCGCTTTTCCTCGTCAAGGTGTTGGGTTAATATGGCCCCCAGACCGTGTGCGCTGGCGTCGGTTTAGAGAACAAATGGCCTCGCGAAGTCTGGAAAAGCCAGGACCGCCGCGGTGGTCAGGGCTTTTTTAGCCCTCGGAAAGCGGTCTCCTCGTGGTCCGTCCAGGTCCATTTGACCTTCTTATGGGTCAGCCTGGTGAGAGGTGCGGCAAGGGTCGAAAAGTCCGCAATGAAGCGCCTGTACCATGAGGCCACTCCCAGAAACTGGCGTACTTTCTTTACGGTGGTCGGTGCTGGCCAATTCGCGACGGCGCTCACTTTCTCCGGGTCGGTGCGGATACCCCGGCGGTCGATAACGTGCCCGAGGTAGCGGAGGCTCGTCCGGCAGAAGTGGCACTTGTCCGGATTGAGGCGGAGCCGTGCCTGGCGCAGGCGGCGAAAGACCTCGGAAAGATGCCGTAGGTGATCCTCGAATGTGCGGCTAGCGATAATAATATCGTCGAGGTACACCAAGACGTGCGGTTCGAGTTCTGGGCCGAGTATCGAGTCAAGCAATCTCTGGAAGGTAGCGGGTGCCGAATGCAGGCCAAAGGGCATCACCCTAAACTGCATCAGGCCACGGCCCGGCACGGTAAATGCGGTCGCCGGTCGGCTTTGCGGTGTGAGAGGCACCTGCCAATATCCGCTTTTCAGGTCAAGCGTGGACAGGTATTTAGCTCCCCGTAGCTTATCCAGCGTGGCCGTGATGTGCGGCAGCGGATAGGCGTCTTTCTCGGAGGCCGCATTCAGTTTTCTATAGTCGATGCAAAAGCGGTAGGCCCCTTCCTTTTTCTTGACCAGGACGATTGGAGAGCTCCAGGCGCTAGTTGAGGGCTCAATGATTCCCTCCTTCTCCATCGTTCGTACTTCCTGGTCAATGATGGCCTGCATCGCCGGATTACGTGGCCGATATCGTTGTTTGATGGCAGGTCCGGGCTTTAATCGGATGTGATGTTGTACTCGATCGGTTGGCCCTTGAACCTGCTCGAACTTCGGTAACTCGATCGCTAAAAACCTTTCCAGACGCTGGGTTTCCTCGGATCTCCCGGTGGTGCTGCCGACGGTTATGACTCCCAGAGTGGTCAGGTTGCCAGTCGGTTCTTTTGGCGGCGGCGGTGGTGGCAGCGTGATTCGCAACTTGGCCCATAGGTCTATGCCTATCAACATGGGGCTACTTAGGCTCGGCAGAACGGAGAACTGGTGCCGGATAGTCTCCCCCTGGACGGTGATGGGGAGTGTGAGAACTCTGCTGATGGGGATCCGCGTCCCATTCGCTAAGTTAACGTGTTTAGCCACGGTGTCTGGACGACGTGTGCGGATCTTTAGGCGATTGACGGTTTCGGCGCTGATAAACGAAACCTCTGATCCGGAATCGAGCAGGACCCGTACGGTTCGGTGGACGACACGGACCTGTATATGCGGTCTCGGAGTAAATTCTACTCGGATTCGGGCTGGGTACTGGCCGCGACAGTTCCGGCCCGCGGTCCGTTTCCCGCCGGGGGATGACAGTCTCGAGTCAACACCCCGTCTTTTCCGCACCGGGAGCAAAACTTTCTCGGCGGTCGGCGGCAATCCTGCCGGGTGTGTCCTCGCTGCTTGCATCTCCAGCAGCAGTCATCTCGGCTGTAGGCAGCGGCTGCTACTGTCGGTCCTGGAGTCTTACGCTCCTCTTGCCGCCGCAGGTTTTCGATCACCTCGATATCGGTGACTCGTGCGCTGAGCGCGCTAGGGCTGGTAATCTCGCCTCTTCGGATGTAGAAACGATATTCCGGGCGCATGTTGGCGTACAGCTGCTCGAGCTAGTCTTGGGGCGTGTAGCCGCCTGCGCGCCGCATGAGAGTCAGCAACTCGGTGGCGAATTGTTGGAACGCCTCCCGTGGCTGCTGCTTCCGCCCCTGGATCGTACTTTTTAGTTGGTAGGAGTACTCGCTAGGCAAATACTGGGCGCGGAAGTCCCGACAAAACTCGGCCCACAGGGTCCAGTTATCGCGGCAGTTGCGGTACCACATCAGTGGTTCGCCGCGGAGAAGTTCGGGTAGCCCCAAGAGCAACTGCTCGTCGTTGTAGCTGTATCCTCGTTTCAGCTCGTCGATGCGTTCCAAGAACGCCAACGGGTCCTTCCCGTCGAAGTGGCACCCCCACTTCCGTATTTGATTCATGGCCTTAGCTGGATCGACGGTGGTGCCTTCGGTTGTGCCGGCGGTCGGGCCTTCGTTTGTTAGTGGCATCTTCGGGGGTCGTGGGGCGGGACGCGAAAAGAGTTGGGTTATCGATAACGAAATGACATTATGTGAAGCAACATGCGGGAATGGTGCGTACAGAGTTTCGCGCGTGAGCGGTTGTTATTCGCAAGGTGACGTGCAAGCACGGTGCGTACAGAGTTTCGCGCATGAGCTCGGGAAGCGAGCGTGGCTTAAGCGGCCGTGTTCTGCAGTCGCGGTGGTCGCATGCAAATAAGCTATGATTGACTAATCCGAGGTACAGTACAGATCTTAAATACTACCGGGTGTCGCGTGGCCTTCGATGTAAATTGTTTAAGAGTCGACTTTGTAATGGAATCGATCATCACATCCACAGAATCTTCACTGATTACTTTCCTCAAGAATGCTGTCCTGATAATTTGCCTGCCATCAATGAAAGGTGGAGGGCTAATGGATGGATCTTGTCTCTATAAGAAGATATTAATAAGGAATCACTTGGATTGAATGTGATAATAGGTTCAGTAAGAAACGATGTAAAAAGAGGGTACCAGAGCTGGGTAGGCCATAAAGGTACTATAAGTAGAGAAGCCTTCACTTGCGCACAGTACAATTGGACACGTTGCAATTGCACACTGTGATATTAGACACAAAGTTGCGCACTGTTCGATTGGACACATTTCATTTGCGCACCGTTCAATTGGACACGTTGTTTTTGGACACAACACATATTTTTGTATAATTTGGAATACATACACACGCATGTATGCATGTATAATTTTGAAATTTTTTGACATTTATTATTAACTTTATTTGGTAAATAAACGTTTGTTACAGTTCATTTACACACAGTTCGTTTGCACACAGTTCTTTTGCGCACAGTTCTTTTGCGCACATTTCTTTTGCGCACATTTCTTTTACGCACATTTCTTTTGCGCACATTTCTTTTGCGCATAGTTCGTTTGTACACCATCCCACCCACACAACAATTATAGGGATATCGTTTCGCGTTGCAAAATATATGCGTGGACACAGTGAGTTCCGCCCCCCCCCCTACGGGGGGGCTCCACGTCCGGAAGATATAACCTAACCCAAATCTATTTCCGATTTAAAACTAAAATTTATGTGCGCAAATGAACTGTGCGCGAAAGAAGTGTGCGCAAAAGAAATGTGCGCAAAAGAACTGTGCGCAAAAGAACTGTGTGCAAACGAAATGTGTGTAAACGAACTGTAACAAACGTTTATTTACCAAATAAAGTTAGTAATAAATGTCAAAAAATTTCAAAATTATACATGCGTGTGTATGTATTCCAAATTATACAAAAACATGTGTTGTGTCCAAAACAACGTGTCCAATTGAACAGTACGCAAATGAAATGTGTCCAAACGAACTGTGCGCAAGTGAAATGTGTCCAATCGAACGGTGCGCAACTTTATGTGTCTAATATCACAGTGTGCAGTTGCAACGTGTCCAATTGTACTGTGCGCAAGTGAGCCTCTCCCCTATAAGTACCCTTACCGCTTTGTCATTAATGATTTTTCTTAAAGTACGAAGGATAAGTGCAAAAGGAGGAAAAGCATAGAAGAATTCATTCTTCCAAGATCTAGTGAAAGCATCCACTGACTCTGCTTCGGGGTCAAGGAAACGAGAGTCAAATTTATTACACTTTCTATTCAATCTAGTTGCAAATAGATCTATTGAGAAACACTCAAATCTCTTTTCAATCTATTCGAAAATTAATGGGGAAAGTTCCCATTCAGTATTCACGTTAGTATTGCGTGATGCTCTGTCTGCTTGTACATTCTCTGCTGAACTAATGTATGATGCTCTCAGCCAAATTTTCCTCTCTTCGCACCATTTCCAAATTTCCCGGGTAAGTTCACTAAGATGTGGAAATTAAACACCTGCCCTATTCACGTATGATATAGCTGTAGTATTGTCCAGACGAAGAAGTACTTCGCTCTGGGATAGATTTGAGGCAAAGCATTTCAATGCGAAAAAGGCAGCAAGTAACTCAAGATAATTTATATGTCTTTTCTTTTCTTCCTCATTCCAAAAACCAAATGTACTTATATCATTACAGAAACAGCCCCAACCTGATAATGAAGAAACAGAATATATTTCCATAGAGAATTTTTGGTTTCTTATTGGATTCGATCCAATTGTTGCATTTGTTTTCCACCAGTTAAGATCCTCTATCATACATTCTTTTATATAGATCTTTCCTTCATAATTACCACCATTGAATTTTAAAGCTAAAAATTTTTGTCTCTCAAGTCTTTTGCAATGTATAAAGCCGTAAGCCACTGCTGAACTAGCTGCCGTTAAAATTCCTAGAAATTTTGCAAATTTTCTAATTCTATAGCTATTTCCTTTCTTAAATTCATTTGCAAATTCTATTATCTGATTTTTCTTTTTATCAGTTAAATTTAAGGTGAAATCCACTGAATTGATGATGAAACCCAGATATTTACATTTCTGGCTAGCAACTAATAAACTTTTTTCATAATTTATTATGAATCCTAAACCTTTCAGAAAATTAATAGTTTCTTTGATGTTTATTTCACATAGCTTTTTTAAATTATGAATAAAAGAAAATCGTCCAAATGTAATACTAGTAACATTCCTTCTAATCTCAGTTTATTAACTATGGGTTTCATTATTTTAGTAAAAATATATGGACTGGTACATAATCCAAACGGAAGGCACGAAAATTGAAAAAGTTTTCCCTTAAATTCAAACCTAAGAAACCTAAGAAACTTTTTATGTTTTTTAAAAATAGGTACTACAAAGTAGGCATCTTTTAAGTCCAAGGAGCACATGAAATCTCCTGGAGATATTAGGCCCAGAGCTGATCTGATATCTTCTAATTTGAAATGTGGAGGTTTAATGAATTTATTTAATTCTTTTAAGTTAAAAATAAACCGGTTAGACCCATCAGGCTTTGGAACGAGGAAGTAGGAAGAAAGAAATTGACCTTCACAATATTCACACTGCTCAATAGCACCCTTCCGTAATAATTTGTCAATTTCTACTTAAATTTGCCTTATTTCTTCCATAGAAAGTACTTTCTCCTTCGATGAAATTTTTTGAAAGGGTTTTTCAATAAAAGGGATTCGATATCCTTCTAAATAGCTTAACACATATTTATCTGACGTGATTTCTCTTCACCTATCTACGAAAAAGCGTAGACGTCCTGCCGTTTTATCTACCTGGCTTATTTCTTGGATGATGATTGGCTCGTCGTCTGAGAGTTCGTCTTGGATGAACTCTGTGTCGAATTTTGGGAGAATCTCCTCTTGAATTGATTGTCGACGTTTTTGTTGATAACCCACCTGCCGATAATTCGATCTCTTTTGCGTCTTTGATTTTTCCTTGAGATTATTGCCATAAAGCCACTCATCAGAAATCATCGCATCCACGGTTGGTTTATATTTGAGTCTTTTTTCGAATTTGGGTTATTTTCCTTATTCTCCTCGACGTCTGTAGTAGATAAAGACAGAAGAGAGGAGTTAATTGGGTAACACTTATTGTGTGCATTGTGAAAAGTCAGTTCTTATTGAACTAATTCACAATTCATGCTCATAGATCTCCCAGAAGAAGGTCTGGATGAAGATATTTTCACAGACTATTTGAGCCATGCTGGTCAGATTCTGACAGATGTCTTCCATCAACAGTCAGTGGCTCGGAAATCGTTTGTCACTCCACAACTCAATAAAAATATTAAACCAACCGTGGATGCGATGATTTCTGATGAGTGGCTTTATGGCAATAATCTCAAGGAAAAAGTCAAAGACGCAAAAGAGATCGAAAAGGCTTGCGCGGAAATTAAGGATAAAGTCCAACAGAAATATTCGTCAAAATCGAATCGGGGAAACTCGAAGTACCCACCTGCGAATTATCGGCAGGTGGGTTATCAACAAAAACGTCGACAATTCAGATTCAAGAGGAGAGTCTCCAAAAATTTGACACAGTTCATCCAAGACGAACTCTCAGACGACGAGCCAATCATTATCCAAGAAATAAGCCAGGTAGATAAAACGGCAGGACGTCTACGCTTTTTCGTAGATAGGTGAAGAGAAATCACGTCAGATAAATAAGTGTTAAGCTATTTAGAAGGATATCGAATCCCTTTGATTGAAAAACCCTTTCAAAAAATTTCACCGAAAGAGAAAGTACTTTCTATGGAAGAAATCAGGCAAATTTAAGTAGAAATTGACAAATTATTACGGAAGGGTGCTATTGAGCAGTGTGAATATTGTGAAGGTCAATTTCTTTCTTCCTACTTCCTCGTTCCAAAGCCTGATCCTATACACCAAAGAGAATCGATAAAAGAATCGGTGATTCTGATTCATTCTTTCAGGATTTTTTTGATCAAAAATGCTTTTCAACTGAGGCAATGTTCGTATGGCTTCTTCCGCAGTTAAATGCTCTGCTGACAGAGGACATTTGATCTCTATCATACCATCTTCGTCAATAAGCCCATCGGGAGATGCACCCAAGCATGGATTTTCACGATCAATAAAAAATCCACAAACTTTTATTTCTTTATTTATTTTTACAGCTAATTCTTTCCTCGCAATTTTCTCGTTATCGCGACTATATTTTATAGCTGCGGTGTCAACTACTGGCGGAAATAAGATACTTTTGACAACTGCTGCGCAAGATGTTGTTGATCTCATGCGACATACAGTTCCAAAATTCGAAGCCGTCAACATTTCATCTCTCAATGCGTGCCACAATTCCGATTCTCTTTGGTATATAGTATCACGCTCAATTCGTTTCCAATTTTTCCCGTTTTCAAACAACTTTCTTAAATGATTTTGACGAAGTTGTTCAAACACATCGGGTGCAAGATCTGGTTTTTGCGATTGTTGGCCATAATGACGGTCTGTTCCACGCTTTCGTTTGAATTTCTTCTTCCTTTCACTTATTTCTCGAGATTCGCTAGTTCTTGCAACTTTTACTTCCCGTCGCCTTTCTAGATTCTCGATAATGGAAGGAACATTTTTACACATGCTTTCATATATTTGCGTAAGAACTCGTTACGTATTATGTTGCACAACTGCTCCCGCAATTCTAGCGTTGTAAGAGCCCCGTTTACCAAAATGAATGCGTTTTCCGCCTATTTCTTTGCAGATTATTGAATTGTACAATTCTGCAGGGTTGTTTGTTAAATTTAACAATAAGCTGTCAGAATAGACACTCAAATTCGCGACAGCAGTCTCTATTTTTTGATACAAACCGTGCAACTTGAAATATGGAACGTAATTTTTTTTATCACGATCTTCTAAACACGTACGACCGCGTTCTTTGCATCGTTTATGTTCACTATATATATGGCTAGGAATATTCAATATGTCCCTTTGTAATTCCGTAGCTTTGCGATGATGAGGTAGCTTTTCTTCTCTTTGTAGAGCGGCTGCTTCTATTACCTCTTTTCGTATATTTAAAATATTACTTTTACAATATTTCGTAGCTGTACAAAGCCACGCAATCTTTGCATTTTTGGCTGCGTAGTCTCTGCTACATGCTTCAATTTTTTACATAAATTGCGAAGCAAATGATTGGTGCATTCTACTTTTTTCACCGTTACCATCTGTTCGTGATATAGTCTGTTGTTTATAATGGATTGATATACGTTGCTATCACCATCGGCAACAACAGTTTTGTGAATTAGTCCATGCTTTTCGAAACTACTTTTAAAACCTTCCGCAATGGCATCGTTCTCCATGTGGAGCTTGCATTGCGATCAAAGTTCTTGTAACATCGGTGAGCTCTAGGTTCGATACCTTTTTGCTCCGCCATTTCACAGACCGCGCAAAATTTATTGCGGATGCTAATGAAAAAAATTTTTCCTGCGCGGAAACCAATTATGGCACCAATACCAGAATGTGAATCATAGGCGGTACCGTACGATCTTTTCATCCAACTATCATCCGCTACAACGGTTATATACGGAATACCGTTAATAGTCTCATTTTTTTCGAGAGCGAGTTGCTTCTTAATCTCGCCCGCCATTTTCATACTTTCCATAGCGGTTTTCTCGAAATCACCAACTATGTTTTCTCTATATTTAATGTATGTATTCTCACACATGCTGAGAATATTCATGGCTGCACATAGCTCTTGCAATTGAAAATAACCGATCCCAGTCGTAATAGTCCCAGCTACAGCGGCTGTATTGATGTCCAATGCATTTTTTGACTCTGTCGTTTCTGATCATATGTTATCTTCATAATTGCACATTTGGCATTTGAAGAAGTACTGCGTCAGCAACCCACGGCGACAAAAATTGACGAGTTTCCAATCTTTAAATTGGCATTCTATTCCTCGCGCATGGTTATCAAATGTTCTGTGCATCTCTGTCCATATAAAAAAAAAAGTCGACAATGCTACGGCCTTTAGGCATGCATTCTTGAATACGATTTCTATCCAAAAGACCTTTATTGTCGATAACGAGATTTTCGTTTTTCTCGCTATGTGCAACTTTTTCTATATACATACCTGGTACGTGTCCTTTCATATCTTGGCATTGCATTACCTTGGTACTGATGTTCAAATCCATCTTGTCGGGTACTGATCTAACTGTTTCAACAGAATCGATGGATTCGTTTTCAGTACCATTGGTAAATTTTGTACCATGTTGACTCTCAACCTGCTGCATCTTTAACATTTGCCGCCTACAAAAAAAAATTAACATAATATTTATACGCATTTTTTATAAAATGTCATATTAAGCAAGAAAACGTTACATTCATTATTCTTTTCAATTTTCGGCAGAAAACTTCAAAAAGATACAATCTTATAAATGAGAACAGTTTTTTGCTTATTCATTTTTTTGTAAAAATATTTATCATATATGTCGGAATATTATGTCTAGAATAATTAATATCTTTATCCTAAGTATTAAATATAGCCAGTAAACAATAAATTCCTCTGGCATTTTTACAAAGTAGCTCGTCGGAATAGACGTCTTTGCCATTATTGTTACAATAACGAGCTCACGTCAGAGTAGACGCCTCTGGCATTATTATTACAAAAGCAGCTCACGTCGGAGTAGACGCCTCTGGCATTATTATTACAAAACCAGCTCACATCGGAGTAGATGCCTCTGGTACCAATTATTATTTACTAACTACTGTCTAACTACTAACAACATTTGAAAAAATTACAAATATATGTTTTTATACAATTATATGTATATCAAGCATCAATTTGTTCATTTTTAATATCGTACTAATAAATAAGCAAAGAACTGTTCTTTCTATTATAATTCTATATCTTTTGGACGCTAAATCGGCAGTACACATTTATTTTTATTGAAATGTAAAATTAATTTTGAAATCGTGTTACTCAATGAAGGAAAATCGTAGAAAAATTTAAAAAAGGCGTATATTTCACTTTCTTATGATTGCAAAATAGTTCTCATTTTGAATTAATCACGCGTTCCTAAACTTATTTAAAAACAAGTGTTGCAATCATACACGGGTGGTTAGCCCTTGATATTAGAAATAATTAAGTTTTTTTATATAATTCGATTGCACATTCTTTGCACATGAATGCAATTTCTTATTTTTGTTTGCACACCTCTAGTAAAAAAGTTATTTCCCTCCATTAGCCTCCAAATTTTTACAAAAATGGTTTTTATTTAATTGATAGATTTTCGTATGCATTGTGACGTTGCCATCTCGCGCGCGTCCGCCGAGTCCCTCTCCGATTGGAAAGCGCGGGCTAAAGGGTCGCGCCCGTCGAATAAATGCGAGAACCGTACCGTTACCTCCAGAGAGGCGTCATTAATCGAGATTTCGTGTTTAATATTAATTCCGTTTGTTATTTCTTTTCGTTTGATGATTTGAGTTGGGAGCCTCACCGGAAGAAAGAGCGGGAAGCCAGTAAAACATCACGGGAAAAATCATCGTCAATCAAGGATGACCGCCGAGGGGCAAGGAGCCAGCGATCCGAGAATTCAAAGCATATAACGTCTAGCTACGGCACGGCGGGATCAGGACCCGCACACGTGATGCGCAACGCACGGGACAGCAAAAGGATCCTTGCGCAAAGGCACAGGCCCGTGCGGATCCGGTCCCCGCGGAGGGGCTGCAATACTGCACCCGATGGCGTGACACGGCCCCGGAAAAGACGGAAAGAGGAGTAGCAGCGATACTTCCGGCCAAGCCGTTCGCCCTAGACCTCACGACGGCCCCGCGGGAAGGGCCCCGGCTAATTATTGTTAGTAATATCGGGGGCGCGCGCACCCCCGATACGACCATGAGCGCGCTGCCCGCCGGCCACAGCGCGTGATAACGCGTGATTGGTCGCGATAATACGCACCCCGTGTGCGCAGCCCTGGCTGGCCCACAGGGACCGATTCTGGATCGCGACGATCCGGCATCAGACTGGCGTGAGCTCGCGCGATAGACAGCGGTGTTTGTTCTGGAGCCAAAATAATCGAGACGAGAGCGACTTTGCGAGAGCGTGGCGGCAAGAGAGGTCAAGGAGGACTCCCGCGATCGAGGGACGGACCCGAGGGAGAGGACGTCGACGTCGCCGACCCCGTACAACCGCCCCGAGAGGAAGAGTACCGGTGAGGTTGCCCTCCGCCATATTCGCCACTCGCGATCGCGCCCGGAATCGTTTCGTTCTGTCGTCGTCGCCGTGAATTTGTACTTTGGTGTACGGACTAAGCCCGATTCTTTAGTGTAGATTTTTGCGTCACGGCCACGTCGTCAAGCGATTCGAGCCCCGGAGCCTCGAAAGTATCGATTTCCGCGGATCGAGACATTACTTCGCGTTTTTAATGAACCGTGTGTCGTCTCTCTGGAGATTCGGATTCCGTAGATTATATTTGCGTTGGTTCTCGCACGTCTAGCGTTTAAGTCTCATTCGTGCTGTATGTCGGTCGTTTGAGTGTGAGTGTGATTCGCGTCAATTTATTATATTACTTTTGTCTTTCGTTTGTGAATCTTCGCGTCTAAACTTTGCGTGCACGTCCGGTGCAACTTTCCTTCACGATTATTGTACAGGTTACGTGAGAGTGTAAATCGCGTAAATTCGACGTATTATGTCGGTTGTAAAGCACCGCG